TCTGTCGGAGAGGCCGCGCCAGGCCTGCCTGCGGGGGTGGCACCGCCGCTCAGGTGAGGCTCTGAAGGCAGAGGCCGGAGATAAGCGCCCCGCGCCGCCGGGCGGGCGGCAGGTGTCGGGCCGGTCCGGCAGGTTCTCTGGCGCCCCTCGCCCCTCCTCGAGGCCCTCTCAATGGCAGCGTCTGGCCGCCCCGCCCACACTCTGGGGGTGCCGCTTGGGCCCGGGTGGCCCCTCCGCCAACAGCCCGCGTGGGGCCTCTGCTGCAGCGGCCCGTGGACAGTCCCCAGGACCCAGGAGGGCAGCCCCCGTGCGCAGAGAGTGGACACCACTGCCCACTAGCTCAGCGGAGAGCCGGGCCCACTTGGCGGCTCAGACCCGCCACGGGCTGAGGCCCAGTGAGTGGACGCCGTCCACCTCGCTTCCCTGCCTGCCTCCAACTTCCGGGCACCCGCTGCTCCCGCCCCTGGGCTCTGCGTGGCTTCTGTGCCAGGGAAACCCCGGCCCACAAGGCCCCTGCATCTGGATCCCCTGGCGTGGAGGGCGGCGGCCTTCCGGGCGCTGGCCCTGGGGGAGGCCGGTGGCGAAGGCTGCTGCCCTGCTCCGGCCGCTGACCTCTGAGAAAGCCTCTGCCTCAGAGGCCTCCCGCTGCCCGCGAGCACGGCCAGACAGTTGTCACAACACGCACCAACAGCCCGCGTGGCTGGGCTGCAGCTGGGCGCTGATAGTCGGGGTCCCCCAACATTTGTCCCGAGATTGTGACCAGGCTGGCCGCATTTAGCCTTCTCTTTACAGGAGGCACAAGTCCACCGGGACACCCGGACGGCCAAACCGCTGCGGCCTGCAGTGGGCTGTCCGGCTGCGCCGCCCACACCCTTCACTCGGGGACCCCGGGGCGCCTGCCGGCCGGGCCCGGCCCCCCAGCGCAAACCTGAGCCTCTCCCCACAGGTCAGGGGCGGCCCGCGCCCGCAGACTGCTGACCGGAGGGCAGCGCCCGGGCACACTGGCCAGGTCAGGCTTCGCTCTGGCTGAGTGGGTAGGGCCGGCCTTGGCCTTCCTCTGCTGGGGGAGGCCCGGCCGCTCAGGCCCGCAGTCACCGGGAGAGGCCCTGGCCGTCGTGGAATCTTCTGGAAGGCAGCCACGCTGGCTCCTACTTGCTGGCTGGGCACAGGCGGAGGGCGGGGTGGGAAGGCCGCGGGCAGCTCAGCTCTGGGGCCGGGCGAGTTCTCGGGGAGCCGGGGTCCTGGGCGCCCCGCCTGGGCCCGGGCCGGGAGCTGCTCTGTGGGGGAGGGGGCTCCCGTGAAGTCATGTTGTGGCCGCCCCACTTCTGCTTTTGTTCCCCATTTGAAGGTCACGTGTCCCGTCAGCATCTTTCTGGGGGCAAAGCTGACGCCATGTCGCCCAGTGAAGTTTCCCGGGGGCCGGGGGTTTCTTCTGGAAGAAGCTGCTGTCCTCGCTGGACAGCAGACCGCTCAAGGGGAGCCGTGGACAGCGGGCTCAGAAAGCGGGGCCTGGGCCCCTCCCGGGCTCGGGGCAGCCCCAGCCATTCCTGGGGCTGCACGCAGGTGACCCTCACCCCGCCCAGGGTCGCAAGGGCCCAGGGTGGGGCGCGGGGACCCGC